AAATTGTTAACACGTAAGATTAAATCCTCCGGAACAATCGGTTCAAGAACAGTCAAATCTGTATTTCTATCTTCATCAAATTTCTTTGTAACAACACAGTCATTCAACAAGACATTCTTCCCCTTACCTTCCACTGCAATCGATCGGCATAGAGGTTTCACTCCTTCCCTGATCACAATCCCATTAGAAGCTTTTCCAGTAGCTCGTAGAGAGCCAGATGAATGCTAGACGTTCATGAATCGACGGCGAAGAACAGCCGGCGAACCTCCGGCGCCTCCTCCTTCAGCCGCAGAATTCCCGCGGTAACCGAAATTCAAAAAACCTGAAAGATTTCTCTCTCTAGAAAATCCTCAGAGCTTCTCTCTCTAGAAAATTATACCTCTTGTGCTGAAGTTCCAAATCTAACCTACACAACTTATTATTAAACTATGATTCTCTAATGATCTTCGTGTATGCTAAAACTGAAATTTTAGTTATGCACACAAAAATATATGCAAAATATATATAGTAAAGCTAAATAAATATTCATTTATATTTATAGTTATCAAAACACAAAATTTAGCTCCTGAATTGTACCACCTAGAAGAAGACTCCTACACTTGAAGGTCATAATAACAAAGGCTTCATTTAAGACAGCTCACTATATTTTTTACAATTTTTTTTTTGCTTTCAAAAATCTTTTGTGCCAAAAACTTATTTTTTACAATAGCTTTCAAAATAACAACTTTCCTTGCAACAATTTTAAAACACAATTATAAAAAACTTCAATTATTTCAAACAATTCATAAGATTAAATATATAAAAATAATATCAACCTCATTTAAAAATAAGATCAAAATAAAATAACATCATTATCTATTATGTGAGGTTAAAAAAAGAAAAAATATAACTCAGAAAAAATTCTTATATATTTACATATTAAGTACTTAACATTTTTATTTTCACCTTCATAACGCCCAAAGCTATAAATTACATTAAAAATACAACTAATACGAACCTTTTTTAAAATCAAATACTTCTTATTGTATATATTTTAATATAATTGAAATGTTAAAATATTATATAAATAATTATAAAAATTTACATGTTAAATATCTTTATACATAAAAAAAATTTGTGGAATATGATTGTAAAACCTTAAAAGCATAAAAAAGTGCATATTGCCTAGAGCAACTTATGATCTTTTTGAGATGACAATAACTTTTTATAAAGATAGTTATAAGATATTATGGAGAAATTTTTTTTTTTTTTAAACTACGTAAAAAACACTTCCTCACACATAAATTTGTTGAAAGCAGTACCCAAATAAAAATTATAATTAAAGTTTAAAATATCAAACAGTAATAAAGCTATCTCAATCAAAACTTAAATAAGACGTTCGCATGCATGCTATACAATCAGTAGTAAAAGAACCAGAACTGCAGTAATTATTCAAATAAACAGAACGAAATTAAAACAAAGAAACATAGGAACAGTCAGTCAATGCAGTCATCCAATACATGAACTAGAAAAATATTTTCATTATTTATACAAAGACAATATTATAATGGAAACAAGCAATCATCAAATCTCTAATAAGATAAAGTCCTCAGCAAACTCATTTATCATTTTGATCCATAACAAGAGGGATGATTACATGTGGGGAATTAGCACCTCACATCTTATACACAAACCGAATAAACTTCTTTACAAACCCCCCCATCTCTCCATACAAAACTGCCATACAACAAACACAAACTCACTGGTTCCTGCATATTTTAACTCACTGGTCCTGCATATTTTATGTAAATCTCAACAATAACTCGTCAACTAGATAAACAAACATTACTTCATCAAAATTCATTCAAATCGCATTAAATAGTAAAAAGGAACACAATGAGAGGAAATCCAATCATTGAGAGCTGGGGAATCTGCATGCATAGGGACCATCAGATGCAACTGTAATAAAGCAAAATAACATCACCTGCAGAAGACAAATTTACCCTCTTGTCTTTGCTCTCTTCATGCCAAGGCTGTTGTGGAAGGGGGAGAGAGAACCAGACATTTGAGAACTGTCATCTCGGAGAGTGCCATTCAGCATGGCGAGCTCTCGCAGCTGCTGCTTCTTGATCAAGTCCTGCGACTCATCCTGTGTTGGTAGCAGGCGAAATATGAGAAAACATTGATTGATTTGAATTCTTCAAAAAGCTTTAGGCTTCTTTGGGACGGCTTTCTTACTGCTTCTTAAAGCAATTTTTTAGTAAAAAATTTAAATTTTTGTACTAAAAAACTACTTTAAGAAGCAGTAAAAAAGCCGCTCCAAACAAAGCCTTAATATAGTGAGTAGAAGAGAGTGATACCACAGGTTTCAGGAGTTCTTCTAGTATATCCCGAGCTTGAATCAAACGAGAATCAATGATTTCCATTGGCAATTCTGCATCTACTAATATGTGGAGAGGTTCATTCAAATGTTCATAACCAGGTTTCCCTCTCATCATTTCCTCCTGAGAAATTGCGAGTGACTTTCAGCATTTTCTTGAAGATGCCTAAAAATTTTCTTTAAAAAATTTGTATTTATGTAAGCTTAATAATATATATCAATAATATTACAATAATTGGTTATTTTTATTTTTAATAAAACGAATGAGTTTGTGAAGAGGTAAAATATGACAAAGTCAAACATTTAGCCATTGTTGAGCAAGGACTTACCTTCATTAGCCTTTTCCTCCAGCAAGGAATAAAAACTGTAAAAATAATTAACAGAAGCATGCAAACCACTATAGATATACAAAGGTGGCGGGCACAGAGATTCTGAAGTAATGTTTTACCCACCCAGAAGTTATTTATACTAAGTCCATACACAAGGAACAACGAACCTCATGTACAGTTAAATGCATTATGACTTGTGATATTTCTTCGTTCTTATGTGTTGAATTGGTGCTAAATTTTTTGGGTTAGAAAGGGTAAAGCTACGTTGCTAAGGGACTCCAAATGCTCGGTTATTGGGATTGATCAAGTATCAAATATTATTAGAAGAACCTAAACCATCCTATCAAGATTAGAAAATTTTGATTCTTGATATTAAAAATAATTTATTTTGTTTGGAAGAATATGCTAGGCCAGTCCATTGGCCAATCCAACCGGTCCACACGGGTCCGGCCCAGGTGGAATAGAGGCAGAAGTTCCACCTCTCTTGTATGCGCCGAACGCACGCCCAATCCAAGGGAGTTGTTTAGGAAGGATTTTTGAGGTAGGAAGAAAATTTTAATGTAGGGACTTTTTAGAGATTTTGGTTTGGATTGTATTCATTAAATAGTTCGTTTTCCTAGGGTTATGGCATCTTGAATTTGGCTGGAATTTGAGCTCTTAGGTTTAGATTTTTGGGCTCTAGCGGCATCTACAGATTTGGGAGAGATAGATCCTTCTCTCGAATAGAAGATCAATTGTATCTTATTATTTTTCTTCCATTAGTTTGATTATCACAAAATAATTACTGTTTTCTAGATTTTTCTTTGGATTTGTGGATCATTCTCGCTGTTTTAATCAAGATAGCTAGGTTTTACTTGGAAATTCTAAGTATTTCCTAACAAATTTGTATCAAAGCAATTTTTTGGGCTGAAATAGAAGTTTTCCTCACCGATTTTTACTACATTTTCCTCTCCATCTTGCTATTTTTTTGCGGGTTGGAGGCCAGATTCATGTCAAACTTGTGGCTCTTTGCAATTAGACCTCGTGACTTGGGAGAGGCCATGGAGCTAGCTCAGTTGGAGAAGGATCAGAGGCACTTGGAAAAAGTGACGGAATGCAGCAGCTCAAGAGGCACATACAGGATGACCACCACCTTTTTGGCATCTAAGTATCCGACACTAGGTACCCTTTCGGGAGACCCCGAAGGAGAAGACTATTGATGGAAGACCGGGGGAAAACTTCAAGAAGCTCACAGAAATAGAATTACAAGAGAAAAGTGCAAAGGGCTCTGTTTCATATGTGACAAGAGATATACGCTGGGGCACGGGTGTAAGGATCATACTCGTTAGGTTCTTGTCATTTGTGATGAAGCTGAAATGGAGGAGGGTGTCGTCTTTCCATCTTGCGGACAAGGTGGATCTTTGAGAGTGGAGTATTATTAGACCGGTCCAATGGGAGGGGAGTATTGTTAGACCAGTTCAGCCAGTCCACATAAGACCGGCCCAAGAAGAACAGAGGAGGAAGTATTGTTAGATCGGTCCATTGGACCGGTCCAGCCAGTTCACACGGGACCGGCCCAGGAGGAACAAAGGCGGAAGTTCCGCCTCTCCGGTACGCGCCGAACATACGCTCGGGTCCAAGGGAGCTATTTAGGAAGGATTTTTGAGAGAGTTAGGAGGAAAATTTGAATGTAGGGACTGTTTAAAGATTTTATTTTGTATTGTATGCCTTAAATAGTTTGTTTTCCTAGGGTTAGGATTTGAATTGGCTCAAATTTGATCTCTCTTATGTTTAGGTTTTTGAGCTTTAGCGGTGTTTAGAGATTTGGGAGAGATAGATCCTCCTCTCGAATAGAGGATCAATTGTATCTTGTTATTTTTCTTCCGTTAGTTTGATTATCGCAACTGGTTTTTCTTTTGAATTTTTGGATTACTCTCACTGTTTTCATCAAGATGGTTAGGTTTTACTTGGGAATTCCAAGTATTTCCTAATAGAATGTTCTTTGTAGTAATAAATTGATTACAATAATCCATTATATTATCCACTTAAAGGCTAAGGCCTATTAATTGGAGTGCATATTCCAAAGTCTTCAGTCCTCAGCCTCAAGCTGCTGCATGACATTCCACTAGGGCAAGATAGAAAATTCCACATATTCCCTTACTATTTTCTGTCTGTCCAAAGGAAAGCCATTTGGCATGTGTGTGAGGCATCTGCTATATTTTTTGGTAGCGACAAAGAGAAAGTCTCTTTTTTTTCTATGAACTAAATCCACTTAGGATTCATAAAACATTATATAGATATTTACTTCCCCATCGAACTTGAAGGCTAATAATACCCTGGAAAATAGAAGGTGCAAATCTCATGAACAGGTCGTAATAAGGTTGTATGACATGTCAATTGGATAACATAACCTCCAATTTTGGCTTTATTACTCTACTGCTGCATAACTACCTTTCCAATTGCCCAATTCCACCAATCCAGTAATTCATCACCTTTTAACTCACTTTGGTAAAACCATGCAAAAACTTGCCCATCTCACAAAGGAGAAAACATGACTTAAATGGAAGAATGCATTGTACTATCAAGAAGCAATATACTTATAAGGAAATGGAAAAAATAAGCTATAAAAATTTTGTTGAAAACCCCAAAAAAGAAATAATTTAACTACCAAAAAGCTTCTATAAAAATAATTTAATGAATGCAGAAGATCGAAGGTATAATGGAGCCTAATTCCTCTATTACAACTCCAAAGCACTATCACTCAATATTGTTAAAAGAAAGTCTGGCACTCACCTAGGAAGCAGGGAGAGAGAAGATCATAGTATCTCACACTCCTCAAACAGGCATGACCAATAAGGTGTTTTAAGGCATACACTTTCTTAAGCCAATGAGGCCAGCATCATGCCTTGAATCAAGAAAAAAAAAATTCCAAGTGCTAAAAGCACAAAATATAAATTAGATTTTTAAGATGATAATTCGACATAGTGTGGTATAGAAGAAAGAGCATCAAAACATTGAGAAATAAGGATGCACACTAGAAAATAAATTACTTACATGCAGGGGTATGAGCTTCAAGTTCTAAAATAATAAATATTGAGGACAAGCCTGACAAGTAGAGAGACAACTCTAAAGAGGCAGGTCAACGAACTCTACCAGGTTGGTAATGACCATCCTATTGATTCAAGATCATTGTATCAGCCAACACAATATATATTATTGATGGATTAACATTCCTTGACATGCCAACTATAGTTATGAAAATATAATGTGAACACTTAATAATTACATAGTTTATGCATGCATTGAATATCACTATTAATAAGACTTGAACTTTATGGCAAAATGACTTTTACTTGATATGCTATGATTGGTAAGCATCCATGATTATGAACTTTTTTGGTTCATACATTTTTCATAACATTGTACTAGTATTTCAATTGTGATTTATAGATGTAAATACTTTATCATCCATGCCATTTCACTGATCGTATTGCATGCCCCAAGCATTGATATTTATACCTTAATAGATAGAAATTACATATTGAGTTTTCCTAACAAATCCACGCTATGCTAATTTTGCAAACCTAAATTGGAAAATCAATTTCATAAGAGGCAACCCTGTTAGCAGTAAATTTTGTTTGGGGATGACTTTTAGCTAGTTGTATAGTGTTTTCATTTTTTGAAGCAATTGTATTAAATTTCTTTTAGTTTTTAAATTGTAGGATTTCACTTTCATTAGTATGTGAGATGTATCAACCACCAAGGGGCTATTCAATTTGAAATAAAATAGATATAAAGTATTCCAAATGCAGAAGATTTGAAATTATTAGTGTTTGGTTTGAATTAAATGAAATGTATGCTAGAATTTTCAAGCATTTGAAATTCACCCTCTAGTTCAATTTTAGCGTATTTGAAAACCGTTAGATTTGGCCGATTTCAAATTCACTTTAGATTCTACCATTGCCACCGTCGTCACTACTGGTTGCTGCCCACATCATATCCTACCACTAACCGCCATCGTCACTCACACCTGCCGCCAATTGCATCCACCACTAGCCACCATAAGAGTTTACATTGCATTCTATGAACTTGATGCCAAACAAAAAATAATAATCTCTTGTATTTATTTTACATTCATCCAAACAATGTCAAGATATTTCAAATACATTGTATTACTTTTTCAACAAATCATATGACCCCTAAATAACTTCAGCTCAAGTGGGGCATGCACATTGTTTTCAAAGTAGATATCACAAGTTGAATCCAATCAATGATCTTTTTAAATTAAATTTTCACATAATATATACAATTTAGTTCATTAGTGACCTTGTTCCCTCCTTATTTGTAACAAGACTCATGCCTAATTATTTGCAACTAATCTTATGCCCTACTTTCAACTAATAAAATATTTCAAATAAGTAATATACTCTAAAAAAATTTATAGGTTTCCTTGATTGAAGATTTATTCATGTTATTGATGCTTTAATAAGTGTAAATTTTCATACTTATCATTATATTTTTTAGGTAAATTCCTTCCTTTGTAATACAAAATCGCCTCACTTAGCCTTATGTTTGTCAAATTAAGAACCTTCATCATATTTTGAATTGAAAAAATGCCTGCTACCAGGACCTCATGCATCACAACCAAGTCCTTTTATTAAGACATGACACTTTATACTTGCTTCTAGTTAAATGTTTTAATCAAGAATGAGTTACATATAATAAGAATATGCAATAAATATTCTATGGCGTGACTGCTGAATAATAAATGGAATTTTCTTAGCAAATATTCTCATGCAGAAATGTAAACGGTGAAGTTTATGGAAGATATCTCTGATAGAAATTACCAAGTACTAGCAAAGGTATCAATCAAGTGTTTCAGTAGCCACAATAAACCAACACAACCCAGACCAACTAGGCAAAGTGTGACAAACACATATTTGTACATTAAAAAAATGTTTGAGGTGTCTACAAAATTACTCCTCAATCTAAACAATACCAATTAAGCCAATATCTACCATCATAGAAGTGGCACTAAACTTGCACACATACACTACTGGTTTGCTATATGTGAGGTCAATACAGTTTGAATGATGATAATAAAGAAAAAATACTGCAAAGATAAGCAGAAAGAAAAATCTACCCGATTTGGATCTTTGATGCTACCACGCCCTCTTATTAAGACACGACACTCAGTACTAGCTTCGACCCGCTTGAGAGAATTTCCTCTTGGACCAAGAAGACGTCCAACAAAATTGTACTGCAGATACAAAAACAAAGAAATGATAAAATATCAAAAATTCATAGTAGCAGGATAAAAAATACAAATCAAAGTTTAGCTAACAAGGGAACATACATTAGGGTATTTGTCTACAGGAATATCAACCCTGATGGTTTTTTTAATAATGATGCCAGAAGAACCGCCCGGTGATCCAAGCCATCCATGTCCGGAAGGAGATTGCATCATTCCTAGCCTCTGCATCATACCAAATAAATATATCTTATCAAATAGTTTAAAAAATAACAATATTAAATAAAAAAAGAAACAATCACACCGCAGGCTAGGAAGCAAATCTAAAATCTATCAAAACAAAAAATATATATAATATGTTAAAAAATTATAAATAGAAAGAAAAATGTTGAAAAATGCATTAAAAATGCACATATGCAGGTTTGATTAAGGAATCAAATTCTAAGCTCATACAAAAACGAGAAATTTACTTTCAATCAATTGTAATCACAAACCATTTTGAGATAATTGTTGATGTATAAAATTGAGAACCAGCCAGATTGGCCTCATCATGTTGTCATTTACAGCAGCAACCAAATGAAGGCTAATTTAACAACTTTCTGAAGAACAAATTTCATAAATGAAATGATTCTCAGAACTTAAGCAGATAGACAAAAATGATACAGTTGATGGAAAAGTTTCCAAATATATAGGCAACAAAAGGCTACCACAGAAATGCTATCACTTCACTCAAATTTGGTTTAACATGAACTATAATCACTCAATTGCTATCTTTACGTTTTAAAGTGTTAGTCAGAATAGCAAAGATGGAAAGCAGAAAAGTCAGCACGTCATGATACCAATTAAACGTTAGGATAAACTGTAAACACAACTTCTAAGAAATAACAGTCAGTACTACCAACTGATATATCCAAGAAAATGACAAAAATCACTTATTTTTCATGCTAAAAAAACTACACGTGATGCTAAGAGTGCCGTCAAAAATCATAAGGCTCTACTCTAATTTTAATGTTAGATGTGAATCTCATTCAAAGCTAAACAAAAACAGAAGCTAATTTTTCAAACATTTTCAGAACGCATTTTAATGTTAATGCTTAAGGTTAGTGTAACAAATCATACACCGCCATTCCATGTTAAATCTCTCACTTTAGTCATAAAAAAAAAAAAACAGGAAGACACGGTCGATTAATGAGTCAGCACAATTAAGCTGGTAAAGTGTACGGGAAGTTCAAAGTTAGAATAAGTTTAAAGATGTCATAAAATATACGCCTTCAAAAATAAAGTTAATGAAGTTAGCACCACGAATTCAAAACTTCAAAAAACACTCCTATCAGAAGTCAGATGTAAATGGAAGTTATGTTACTGGTTAGTATCCATACTTCTGGTTGAAAAGTTGATGTCCATCCATTTAAATCAGCTGCAGCTCCATTTGAAAAAAATCCTCCAGTAGACAGGGGCCTACCATGCTCAATAGCACCTTGATCTAAAATTGATGCATTCCCCAACAGTGTGGTCACACGTAAAATTTCTGCTTCAAAATGTCAATTTCAAGCATAAAAGGCACCAGTTAGCATTTTTTAAAAGAAACTAGTCGGCAGTAAAGTGCGGACTAGGGTTAATGACACAGTTAGTTCAAATCAGTACTCAACCAGTGTAAATGAGTTCATATTGTTGAAGAAGTCCTACATGGAACTTGCTGAAGGGCCACAAATTGCTCAACATTTACTCAAAAATAGTTAGGAGTCATTGTGTACCTTGAAGTACAAATTGTCAACTTTGACAAACTAAATCATAAAAAGGATAAACCCTAAGTGCAACATCTAACATCAAAAGAAAAAACATGTTGTCCATATTCTAATTAAATTAGGATTAAATGCTTATGTAAGCATAAACTTGTCTAGCATCCTATCTTAACGCCAATTGTTCTGGAGGAAAACCCAAGAAAACCACATACACAACATATCCCCGAAGTAACCAGAACCCAAACTGAAGTGAATATCGATAGCATAGATGTGGAATATGCATGAATAAGGGTATTTTAAAGTAGATGTCCAAGTGAAGGAGGTTATTTGTCCTTATAAAGGGGCCCTACCGTTTACCTATAAACGAAGCATTCTCTTTATAAGATCATTAAAACCAACTGACCTGCCATAAAGAAAAGCAAAAATTGCTAAAACCTCGTTTAGATGGAAAAGAATCAGAAAAACAATGAGCACAGATTGGAAAGAGAAGGGTAATGTGCAAAAGTCGTGTGTGAATTGAGCAAAAGAGAGCAATGAGATTCTAGAGCTGACAAATTTTTTCATTAGCATTTTTCAAAGAACGCCATAGAATCTACACCCTGCCCATCTCCAACATATGCAAACAATTACAATTAAACATGCAGTCACACAAAGCTTGATTTAAGCTTAGATAGGAATTGTTTAATCTGCGCTCAATCAGATAGGATAAAAAGTTCCCCACATTTCTCCAACTAAAAAAGAAAACAGAAAATTTCATCTCAAATCCTGATAACATCAGGAAGCAGAAGGCAGAAAATTTTATGGAAAAGCAGTAGCATCCACAGGGAAAGAACCACAAGCAATATTTTTCTCATCTTCCAGGTCTTTCCCTGATTTAGCAATACTTTATTCTCTTCTTGAATTACCAATCGTTTTCCATGCCAAGTATCAGATGTCAAAGCTGGGAAAAGTATGAACTATGCTAGCACCAAACTACAACAATGTTGTTGAATTATCATTGAACCCACATCACAACGGATGGCCCAAATAGAGCTTCCATCCTTCTCACATACACAGCTAATCATTGGTGGGGCTCACAAGTCAATAAATTTTGATAAGAATACTTGAGCACACAAATTAAAAGTTTCAACCATTGAATCAATCCTCTTATAACCCATGATTGCAATCCGTTAGCCTACTCTTTCTCTTCAAACACTACCCCCTCTTGGGACTTTTTCTTTTTGTTTTTTTTATAAAAAATTTTGATTTATTTTCATTGTATGACTTTTGAATAAGTCTAAATATACTTCTACACTTTGTACATGAACAAGCAATAAATTCAAAATAAATTTTCTACCTTTCTACTATTATACATGTTATCAAAGAGAGGTTAGGATTTCCTTCTTCACTTTTGTTCTATTTCATTTTTGCCGCAATTCTTCCTTTTTATTATATCTAATTTCTTTGACTTACCTTCCAAAGAGTTAACCATTATTAATGGTTACTAAGGGAGAACTCTAGTATTTATAAGCCTCATATTGCTTGAAAAAAACTATTTGAAAGGTCTTAATTTACGAAGAACTTTTTGAAAAGAAAAGGAAATATCCATAACCGTATGAATACTTCTCCAATGCCAAAGGATCCAAAGTTTATACTTTAGGATGAACTAGATTGCATTATAATGATATAGTTGTGGAATACTATAATGTCTAAAATCAATGGATCATATAATTCCTCTCTACATTAATAGATGATGGGACAACATCAAACAACCGTACTAAAACAACGATCAAGCAAGATACCTTCATTAATGATTGCATTCAAATGATATGAGTACATCTTATCAAACAAAAATCTATTGTCAATACCATTCTACTCTTTTTTAATATCATGACACAAATCAATTTCATGCTAACATCAAGTTGTTTCAAACTAATAATACTTGTGATTACTTTAATCACAAATTATTATCATTCTTTCAGAAAGAATATATCATCCACCAACCTCCTGTCATGACACTCTCCAACAAAATGGAGTGGCAGATGAAAAAATTGCCTACCTCTAGAATCATAAGAACTCTTCTTTTCCAAAATTAACTACTAAGAAAATATTGGGGAGAAGCAATACTAATTATCACATTCCTACTCAATTGAATACCCTCAAAGATGATTGACTTCAAAATTCTCTGAACTATATGATTAAATTCATTCCCAAAAATAACTTCCTCTCACAAATTCCTCCAAATATCTTTAGGTATATTGCTTATGTCCACATCAGCAAATAACATAGGGATAAACTTGGTCTAGAGCTCCAAAATATATCTCAATTGGGTATTTCCTCCGCTCAAAAAAGGGTATGTGTTATCATCCAACTATCAAAAAAATTCTTAATTAAAAAAATATCACCTTTGATGAGAAGAAATTTTTTTCAATCAAACTCATATTAAGAGGGAGAACACTTAACTGAAATATAAATTTAATGAAACCTCTATCTTTGGTATTCTTAAAGCATAAACTCGAACAAATCCAAACAATGCGCCCCTTGAAGTCTATACAAGAAAGAAAAAGTCTAGCCAAATTCTCCATCAAGCTTAAAATTTGGAACTATTATTATGTAACAATGATCAGCTCATTACTACACATTCTTTTATATATCATATCTCCTAGCACACATTTTCAAAATGTCTCTACTATCTATAAAATGTTCCTTACAAATATCAGTTCCAATTTCATTACAATAGTACAAACTCTAATAGAGACACTTAAAAATAAGAATTAGAAGGATATTATGACACAATAGATGAATACTTTGGAAAAAATACACTTGGAAGACATTGAACTCCAAAAAGAAAGATAATAGTAGGTTGACAATGAATTTTTCTATAAATATAAAATAGTTTAAAGCTTAGAAAGATACAAAGGAAGATTAATAGCCAAATGATATACACCATCCCATGAAATTGACTATCAAGAAATTATGGCTCCTATCACACAAATGAATATAACATGCATTATTTCTCTTGCAGTCAATTGTGAATGGTCAATGCAGTAGTATGAAATAAAAAATATTTTTCCAAGGTGATGTTGAAAGGAAGCCTATATGGATCCACAATCAAATTTGAGAGTTCTTTTACAAATAACAAATTGTGCAAATTGAAAAAGGCTCTATATAGCCATAAATAATCTTCAAGAGCATGATTTGACGTATTCATAAAATTGATGAATGAAGCTAGATGCACACTTAGACAAAAAAAAAACTCTCTTCATAAAAAACTCCACTGATAGTAAAATCTAAATTCTCATTTATATATTGACAATATACGTGAACAATAAAGAAAATTAGTCTTAGAAAAAAATACTCGTTGAAGAATTAAGATGAAAGAAATAGGTAAACCCAAATACTTGTGAAAAATATTTTTTAATTTGAATAAAAAACATTCCTCTTAATAAAAATATATTATAGATCTACTAAGAGATACAAAATAACTAATTAAAATCTTTTTGAAACCCCACCCAAACCAAGTAAAAAATTGGATGCAAATGAAGAAGGAAAAGAAATAGATATGGACAACTCTAGATATCATATTTGCAATGAGTGTCATATGAATTCATGCACAAATCCAAATAGTCTGACATTCAAGCTACTTAAATAATCCTCAGATACCTTAAATCAAATTCTAGCAAAGAAATTCTTCATATAAAGTCGGATACTTTATAAATTAAAAGGTATACAATGCGGACTATACAGAATTACTAGTGAATACAAAATCCATGACTAGAGATTATAAATTTTTGAGAGAAAATCTCGATAACATGAAAGAGCAAGAAGCAATATGTTGTTTCTACATCTAGCAATGAATATGAATTAAGAATTTCTGCCTAAACAATCTGCGAGCTTCTGGGGATCAAAATTATCTTAAAAGATTTGAAAATCAAATGAGAAAACCCAATAAGAATATATTGTAACACTAAATCCATTATCAACATTGTTCATATTCAATACGACATAATTGCACCACGTATGTGGAGGTGAATAGACATTCCATAATAGATAAACAAGAAAGTTAGTTTTTCATTTCATACGTGAATAGACATTCCATAATAGATAAACAAGAAAGTGAGTTTTTCATTTCATATGTGCTATCAGAAATCAACTTGCAGATATTCTTAGCAAAATACACAACAAAACCACGTTCAAAAATGCTGCAAAGCAAATGTCACCATATAGATGACCTCTTTAATGGACCAGCCATTGTAAGTTTAGAACAAATACAACAAAGTTAATAAAAAACCAGCTTGCCACATTCATAGGGATTAAATATTTCTGGAGCCTGCTAAGCATGAAAAAAAAAGGAAGATACATGATATCCTAACAAATTGCTAAAGGAGTATGACAAGCCTTGAAAATTAGGATGCTCATACATACGTATAGATTTTATAAAACACTTGCACGACACCAGATACAGGATGTAATACCATATTGGCATGAGGATACAGCAATTCTCAGAAAGTGTTAAATAAACAAGTACCCATACACACATAAAGACCATATTGCATATAAATGCCATTCCAATTTGCTACATAAAATATGAAAAGCTTCAAAAATTAGGATGTCCATACATACATATTGATTCTATAAAACACTTGCACCAGACCAGATACAGGATGTAATACCATATTGGCATACGGATATAGCAATACCCAGAAAGTATGTAAAATACACAAGTACCCATACACATAAATACCAATCAACATATAAATATAAAAATGTACAACCATGCATGTATATATAAATTGGCACACTCATGCAT